CAAATTAATGTGTCTTGTCCCCCTTCTTGCAGCAGAGGCTCCTTGGGAGCCTGGCACAGGGCCAGCAGGTCCAGGTGGGTTTTAAGACCACATTTTCTTTGTGTTCTTTTCCTTTTGTAAGTGATGAGCTGCATTTTCAGCACCCAAGTGTCCTGTTAGCACAGGAAGTGTCCAATGGCCGTCTCTGCTGTGTCACGACTACAGCCTCTCTGTTTCCCCCTCATCTTCATGTCTGGAGAGAGACTTGCCTTTCCTGGAGCTCCAGCTGGTGAGGAGTGAAACCGTATCCATGCTTGGTGACTGCAGGAAGCTTTGGATGGATGAGAATCCAGCATGGTCAGATGCCTCCGGAGCGGCGGGTGCTGCTGACAGGTGGCATCTCCTCCCTGGAAGGACAGTGTCCCTCTCCAGCTGCTCCCTGCTCTGCCTGAATCATGGCCTGTCCAGTAGCTGCTCCCCACTTAGCATTCCAGGAGTTATGGCCACCTGAGCTGGTGCTTAGTGAAGGGATTTGCTGTGCTTAGATGAAAAATGCAACAGGCACTTTAAAGTGCCCTGTAGCTAAATTGAGCTGAATTTTCCAGTCCCCGCAGCTCTCAGCTCTGCTCTTCTGCCCTCTTAGCAAGAGGCAAGGAAATTCTTAGGTTGCACTTAGGAGACAGTTAAGCATCTACTAAATGTCTTCCCTGAGTGATGATCTTGGTCAGTGCTAAGGAGCAAGGTCTGAGTGTGAAACCAGGAAAGGAAGAGGGAATACAGCATATCAGGTGAGCATCAGCAATGTTTCCAGTTGATAGGATAAGTCCATGCTATTCCTAACTGCCTCGTTGAGATCTTTGTGGCACTGGAACAATTTGTATTTGCACACCTGTGCAGAAATGTGAATAGGCACATCTTACAATTTCCAGGTGCTTGAGCCCTTCTGGTACCAGTGCCAGCTATGGTGCCCCAGGATTGGTTTCTGTGCCATCAGAGGTGAGGAAATGCTCATCTCCTTCCAAATGGTAGCTTATAGTTTTTTCCTTTTAAGATAGAGAAAATCCTTGTCAGATTTCCTAATGATTCTGTGTGGTGTGAGATATTGATCATAGAGGGAATTACACCTATTTCTGCTTGGGAGTGGGAGAAACAGGAAGTCATTCCTCATCTCAGGCCTGGGCTTGGACTGAATGAACCTGGTAATCAGGGATAACTGGATAACCTGTATAGTACTTGCTAGGTGATTAACCCTTCTTCATATGCCAGGAAGGCTTTCTTGGAACTGGAGGCACTGGCCAACATAAATTGCTTCTGTCAATGTGCTTTATTGGACTACATCAAAGTAGAATCAATAGAGAGTTAAAAAAACCCTAACAGAATGGGCTTTCTAAGGCAGAGCAAGTCCTAAACAGACAGGAGTGTTGTGCAGGTCAGGTTTCACCTGGCAGCCAGGGAAGCAGAGGGGTTCTGGCTCTGTTGGGAGTGATTCATTGCACTGGAATATTTCAGGAGAGTGGAAGCATCCAGGAGTTGTTAACACACTGCTGCAAGGAGAGGGGTTCTGAGTGGGTCAGGTTTGTGCCTCCAACTTTGCTGTCACAGATTAATACTGATATCATCTCTATCAGTGTAAGTTATCTGTTGCCATTTAACCTAGATGAAAGCTTGAGTGTGGTTATTGCATTTTAAGGTTGCTGGAACTTGTTAATAATTTAGAATAATCAAGTCAAATTAATTCACTCTTAAAATCGAGCTTATTTGCATTGACTAGTCTGGGTTTTTGTGACAGATCTCTCTGCGGGCATATGTTTGTGTAAGCTTTTTGTGTGTGCTCATGAGTGTTTGTGTGCATACGTAATTTCCTTCTCCATCTCACAACCAACAAGAGGCTGAGCTGGATTTAAATGTTGTGCAGGAAAAATGTGAAGAAGGTCCACCCCAAAGTGGAGCTGAATAGCTGAGGTATAAATCCACAGGGAAAAATGGGGTTTGTAATGGAAATGCTGCCTCGTTTTAAATTATAGCCAGGCATCTGTGAGGCTGAAATTCCTGCTGCAGCATCCAGACGGTGCTTCAAGCTGGCTGCACGTTCCCAGAAAGGAAGAACCCCCCCAGCCTACCTGCAGCCTGACCTTTGTGCTGACACTGGCGTGCAGCTTTTGTGCTGCACGGGGCGGGTGCGAGCGTGCAGTGACAGATTGCTGCTGACAGGGAGAGGCTCCTCCAGCTGCATTTCTCTGCAGCCCCTGCCATATATCCAGGGGCTTGTTAGAAGAACAACAGCACCAGCCAATAGCCAGTTGGTCTAAGCCCCTGGGACAGACCGTATGGCCCACACTCTGCTTCCTAAGCTGTGAGTGTGGAGTAAACTCAGCTGCCGTGGCGCTCGCAGCCCTCGTGTTACACAGCGAAGGAACACACCCGGCCGTGCGTCTGTCTGTGGCAGAGCCTGTACCTATAAATAACAGTGTTTGTGTGTGTGTGTGCATATTTATGTGTCTGTGTATTTATTGTGGGTGAGGCTGGTTGTAGAGCAGCCCAGAAAATGGAAATCCTTTTGTGCAAATGTGCTTGCATGGAGGCAAAGAGAGCCAGGAGAGCAGGGGTGATGAATTGGCCCTGAACTGCGATGACAGTCCTTTTTTTAAATCAAAACAATTTCAGGGAAAGGGTCTCCAAAAAAAAATGTCCAGTTTCAGGAGGTAGCACAATTGAATTTCTGGTTCCTGGCTGCCTGCCTAGAGGGCCTCTTGTCACTTCTACTTTCTTCCAACAAGGCAGAAGGCAGAATTGACAGCAGCCTTCCCGCCAGGCTGTTAGGGAAGCAGGGAAGCCAGATGCTTTGCCTCCCTGCTCCCTCCCCTTCTGCGGCCCAAGAGCCAGAGAGTTAAGTTGCTTAACTCTTCCATTCTCCCTCTCCAGTGTTCCTGGTCTGGTCCAGCAGGAATCCTGAGGAACAAAATGCCTAGGAAGGGGCACAAAGGGTCCTCGCTCCCGAGGGTGGGTGTGTGTAGTGTCAAAATAAAGTACCTTTATGCTTTGTATAGAACAGGAAAATTAGACTTTTATACAGAAGGATTCTGCAGGGAGGCACATGGCGGGAATGGGCTGATATAGGAGCCTCTCCCCCAGCAAACCCAGGGCAAATAATATGATTTCAGAGCCCAAACCCAGTTCTAAACTCTCCCTCAGCCCCTGATATTTATATCACTGCATATAGGGTATACTGTAGATGAGTGCTAGAATATTTCTGTATTTTATCCAACAAGGACAGTAGGCTTATGCCTCTCTTTTCTTTATGTAGAATTATCATCTTTAGATGTTAAGGGATGTGGAAGGCTTTGGTTGCTGTTGAATTAACATTTCTATATGCATCATTTCACTAGATAATTTGCTGACTCTAAAATTTTTGTGTAATCAAATTGGCTGGCTGTTTTAACATTTGTCCAACACCATTTTTAAGTGGTAGTTAAATGAAGTGGAGAATGAAGCCTTTTCTTTAGACTCAGGCCTGTAGCAGGGTGAGGGCCTCCAGTATGTTTTTTTGAGAGAGGACATGCTTTGTGTCAGGGGCTGTGCATTTCCAGCACTCACAACCCACAGAACCCTTTTTAGTCTGCCCAGCTGCAAAATGGGGTGACAAAGTGGTAGTGGATGGCCAGGAACTGACAACCCCTGTCTCCCCAAGTTCATCTTATTGCCAAAACCTTGGTACAGTGGTTAAGGTGAGATTCCTTCTCCTCTTCTACAAGGACAAGAGGAAAAGGTCTCAGGCTGTGCCAGGGGAGCCTCAGACTGGACATCAGAAGGAATTTCTTCATGGAAAGGCTGCTCAGACATTGGAATGAGCTGTCCAGGGAGGTTTGGAGTCCCCATCCCTGGAGGTGTCCAAGGAATGCCTGGACATGGCACTCAGTGCTCTGGGCTGGTGACATGGTGGGTATCAGTCATAGGTGGGACTTGATTGTCTTGGAGGGCTTTTCCAGCTTCAATGACTCTGTGAAATAACTCCAAATAGGACCAAACCAGGGCCTTGAAGGGAAAATTGTGCCAGGGGAGGTTTAGGTAAAATTTCCAGGTAGTAGGAAAAATTTCTCCACAGAAAGGACAGTCGGACATTGGAACAGGAATGTGGTGGAGCCACCATCCCTGGAAGTGTTCAACAAAGATGTGCATATGGCACCTGAGGACATGGTTTAGTGGTGACGCTGGTGGTGGTGCTGGGTGGAGCGCTGGACTTGGTGATCACTGAGGTCTTTCCCAGCCTCAGTGGTTCTGTGCTTCTGTTTCTGAAGTTCACCTGCACTGACACTGCCAGGCTGTGTGCAAATGGCTCTGCAGCCTGTGGGTCATCCAGGTACCTCCAAAAGCAGGGAAATGATAAGGTTTCCTTAAAAGCCGTACAGCCCTTCTCCTCCTGTGTGCCTCTTCATGTCTCTCCATGCCCAGGAGCCGGATCTCTGTGCTTGTACATTCCTCCCTCATGCCAGCAGTCCCTGGGTCCCTGTGCCACCTTCCCCAGGCAGGGAGGATGGTGATGGAGCAGGCATTCCTCTGGGTTTGGCATGCTCAGCTCAGGCAGGAGGGAACACCAGCCTCAGGCAAACCACGAACATTTGTCACCTGCAGAAAGGCAAAAAGTGTTGCCCAGAACAGCTTTGGAAATATTTTAATTACCTCTGGTTAATCTGGCAATCAACGAAGTTGAGGTAAAGATCACAAGTGGAGACAAAGTCTAAGGGGAATTTTATGCTTGGAGTCAAATTTCAGCAATGTTTTTGAAGCGTTTCTAATTGGGATGGTTTAAGAGCCATCCCCAAACCTCCCTGAATCCAAACAGTTCTGATGTACGTGGGGAGCAAATCAGTCATGCAGCTCTAGACAGCACTGAGAGCTGGAGCAACACGGGGCTTCTAAAAAACCAGCCTAACCACTGAGGTCTTTCTGTGCAGTTTTACAGTCAGAAAACTTCTTTAATGGACTGTAAATCAGCAAAGGAAATTTATTTTTTGTTTCTCCAGGCTTGAAAGATGAGCGTGCCTCTGCCTGACAGCTTTCAGAGCGAGCCAGCCCTGCCAGCCAAAGCAGATTCTCTGTGCCTGCTTCCAATCAGCACGAGCTGAAACAACTGGTGGCAGAGTGGGGTGTCTCTACAGTCCTAGCCACGAAGAGAGGTGATTATTCCTCCCTCCCAATTCCACTTCCCATACGGAAATTATCCTGTACTAGAGGCGTGCACCTTCCTCTGTTCTGTCAACGTGAGCTGCTAGGAAGATTTATTTCAGTAATAAGGTCTTAGCAGTGAAACTTAACAAAAATGAGGGGGCAAGTTTATTAATTATATATTTTACAGTTAATTAAAGATAATATTTAACAGAAGTAATTGCAGGCATCTGCATTGATGGCATAATTAATTTCCAGTGATAAACGGGTTGTGTGTCCCTTTGTTGGACTGATCAGAAACAAATCCTGCCTCATGCTAAACCTCTCTTATCTCTTAGCATTTGCAGGAGATGAAACATCCTCCTGCTTGCAGCCCAGGGAAGAGGCTGGAGCTGGGCTTCTTTCTCCACAACTGTAGAACTACGGTGAAATGAGGATTCTTTGTTCATGTGTCATTGGCTTCTCTGAGGAAAACAGCGACCAGGAGATGAGACTTGGGGTGAGTGCAGGTCCCACCACCAGTTCTGCCAGCTCCTTCAGCTGGGCCTGGTGCCCTCCATCCCATCGTGTCTCTCAGCCCCAGCTCTGGGAAGCAGGAAAGCTTTGTTCCACAGGACTCAGGTCTTTCACCCCTCAATCTGCTTCTAAGCAGTATCTTCCATTTGTGCTGAGATGCTGTGTAGGAGCACTTGTCACTCATCTCAGCTTGCATTCAGCATGTTCCCAGAACCTGGGCACGGATGTAGATGAGCTGTCCATGTGGGAGCTTGCTGGGCTCTCAGCACCCTCCCCTTTGGGATCTGACATGAAGGGTGCCTCCCATGTGCCCTGAGGTCTGTGCAGTGGGCAAGTTTATTCTGCACTGTCAATGGCAATGTTCCTGTTCTCCTAGCATCTTTCAGACAGGTTGGTAGGTTCTACCTTGTGCAGGTGTCCATCTCCCATTATCTTCCTCCTACCTGAGGTACACACAGAGCCTGTGACACACAGCTGAATGATTTTTATTCCCTCCACTTGAGGGAAGTAGCTTACAATGTTATAAACTGGTCGTCTGTGATTGACTCATTCCACCTATTTCTGAAACACAGTCAATAAGGTAAGAGAAGATTTAGAAAAGTTAACAGTGTTCAGGTCTGTTTAGGAGAGGAAGGGAGCCCAAAAGTTGGATAAAATACTGTAAAGAGCCAAGCCCAGCACAGCTGCTCAACACAGAGCCATCCTGTGAGAGTGATGCTCCTTCCTGCTTCCTTTTTCATTTGTTATAGAAACTGTTGGTGCAGGTGGTGGGGCAAAGGAGCTGCTCTAGGAGCTCTGCACACCTCCAGGCAAGGTCCTTCCCATGGAGGAGGTGATGGGAGCTGGTCAAGGAGATACTTTTCCAAAGGCATGCCACAGGGATCAGGGCTTCCAGCCTTTTTATTGTCTTCATTAATCAGGTAAAAGATGGAGTAAGCAGTATGTGAATGACAAGGAGGGTGAAAGGAAGAGAAAGCCATGCCAAGGGCCAGAGGAGGTCCCAGGTTCCAGCCGGCCAAACTGAGCAGGGCTGGGCTCAGGAGAGCTGGGGCTGAGCCTGGGCAGCCCGAGCAACAGGCTGGGTTTGCGAGGGCAGCTTTGAGCTGAGTGTTGGCTGCTCTGCTCTAAACCCCAGGTTTTCTGCAGGCCCATCTTGTAAATATTTAAAATGCAAAGTAGCGGGCCCAGCAAGTCCATGTGGGGATTTGCAGGCAGGGAGGGGAGCAGAGTGTGTGTGAGCTGCTTGTCTCCCTCTCACGTGTCTGCACCCGTATGTGCCTTCTCCCAGTGCCTTCTAGAGAGATTTTAATCCAGAGAGCTCTGACAGCCTTTCAGGCATCAATCACCCAGCGCCGCAGCACCCCTGCAAGGTCAGGCAGTGTTATCAGCCTCCCCTCAGAGCAGCGTTTTGTGCCTCAGCAAGAGGGATGGGCAGAGGGAGAGCAGCTCCTGAGTGTGTGTGAGATTTCCTGCAATCAGAGCTTTCCAGATTCCTAGAGCCAGGGATGGGATCCAGGTCTCCTGGAGCCCTGCTCCCTGCCCTGACCACTGGAAACACTTCCTCCCCACAGAAACCTCACCGTGAAACCACCCACCGGAGCAGGGCTTTGTAGTTTGGCAGGCAGAGCACAGGCTCTGCTCTACCCAATCCGCGGGCACATTTTTGGGGTTGTGTGTTTACTGAAATCTTGGCTTTGCTGGTCTGCAGAGAATAAAAGTTGATTGTTGAGCAGCCAGGGCTCGGCGTCTCCCTGCCTGTACGTGTAAATTCCCTGCATGGCCAAGCCAGGCCAGGGGGGATGTTTGTGGGGCTGCAGCCTGCTCGTGTGAGGAGCCTTGTCTCTGCTCTGTGCTAAACACGTCTTTGGTTACCTGCTCTCACTGGAGCTTTTCTGGCTTCTCCAATCCTTTCCTTAGCTGCTCTGGCTGCAGGGCCTTGTGATAGCTGGCTGGATTTATCTATTTAATAATAAAACTTAAAGAGTGAGTTGTTTTCCAGGCAGTGGCTGTCTCTATGGAGCCAGGTCATGATGGGGTTACTGTGGAGGGAAGCAGGGCTGCTTGGGGAGCTTAAAATCTGCCAATCCCACTATTCCTTCTGCTCCTCAGCCTTCTCCAGTTACTCCTTCCTCCTGCACTGGCAGGAAAGTTTATGGTGCTGTGCAGGCTGTCCAGATCTTGCTACCTCCATCTCTCTTAGGATGTGGCAGGGATAGTCCAAGAAGGAGTTCAAAACCCAAGGCTACAAACAGGACAATAGGACAGTAAAGAGAAGACAGTGGAACACAAAGAGTGGGCCTTCCTTTGGTTATTTCTCCTGTGCAGTTCCCTACAGTTCTCACAGCATGTGTCTCCTGTCTCTCACTTCTTCTATAAGGGATGATGACATCCTCCCCATAGGGCTTAGCAGTGCTTTATTCTCATGGCTGGAAAGGAACTGCGCTCTTGTGGAGGATGGATTAGTCAGGGGTTTAAAACAAAAATCAGAGGTTTGTGCTGTGGATCCCAACCTGAGGCATCTGCTGGTCCTAATCTGAAGGGTTCCCCCACCCCCAACTGCACACACAGTACCCCCAGGTCAAATGGGCCACTGTGCTGCTTTAGGAGACTTGATTTTCTTCATCTCCATGAAATCCTGCCTGAAGCACTGCTTTGGGCAGTGGTCAGTCAAATCACTCCCACTCCATCACCAGTGCTTCCCTTCCCTTGGGATTTACAGCTGGATGAGGAAACCCACCTCCATCACTGTCTGTCCTGGGCTGGGCAGTGTTCAGGTGCATCTTAAAGACTCCACATTCCAAGAGGCATGAATCTGTCACAGCACAGCTCAGTGCCTCAGAAGGGAGGGGGGAGAGGGGTGTTGTTCCCTGAGGGTTTGGCTTCAGGAATAAATCTGTACCTCCACACTCTGCCCATAAAACTGATAACACTGAGATTGCTTTACACATCAGCAGCAGAATGGAGACAGCAGAGGCAATCAGGACCCAAAATAATTATGTTTATCATCTATAATCATCACACAGAGTCTAACAGCACATTAGCACTTCCAGCAGGCAGTTTTCAGGAGCAGGGAATGCAGGCAGTGTTTTGGAGGATGCACTGATTATTTTAAAGGACATCAGCCACAATTGAACATGCCATGGGGAATTCTCTGAGCTGCCAGCACACTCTTTTATTGCATGTGTGGGAAACAGGAGCAGGGCCAGTGCTGAACCATCTCTGTAAAGTGTTACTGGGTGCAGTTTCCAGAGTCAGGCTGTGGAAATAACAACTCAGCCTCTTTCAGATTGTTCCCAGGGATCTGGAAGGTGTAATCTGGAAGAGCCTATAGTTGTTTGAACCCCTTTCCGTGGAAGGGATGATTCCAAGGGAAGTCTCTCATGTTTCCTGTTGTGATGCTGCCTCTGCTCCTCTCTATTTTCCTGCCAGTTCTGGAATACACACAGACTTCAGAATTGAGTTCCCTGGTGGAAAACTACCCTCCCTTGTGCTACTGCACAGTCCTGAGGGTGTGAGGCTACAAATGTCCAAGCAAATCCAGGTGATGTCGGTTCAAAACAGGTCCCTGAAAACACCTGCAAGCAGAAAAACCCAACATCCTTCAACTCATGTCCTGCAGCATGGTCCTCTCTCATTGTGCTACACTGTTAGGAGGGCAAGCTTTGCAGCAAGGGAGAAGAGGTCAGAGAAAGTCCTGCTCAGGATGAATGCAGTCAGTCACTGCATTGATGGAAGGGCTTAGTAACAGTCGGCTTGGAAGGAAAGGCCTTGGAGCCAGATTTGTATGTGGAATCTTATCAAAAGCCCACAACGCCTTATCTCTTCAGCAGAACATCTGAGATGCTGCACATTTATTTGCTGTGATATTCCAGGTTATAAAGTGGCTTTATAAGCCTTTGTTTTCCAGGATGATCCCCAGGTGAAGGTGTAAAATCCATCCTTACAGGATGCTAGTCCTGAGGTGTGTCAGGGTGTAAGGGAGGGGCAGTTCCCATCCTGAGTCTGTCAGTGGGAACTGGTGTTTCTTCTGCAGACAGCACCCCACTGCCAAGAAGTGCTTTAGCAAGGCTCTTAGGCTTTCAAACCTGGAAGGGTTTTTGGAGCCAAACATTGGTCTAAGTGCCTTTTTACTGAAATTCAAATGCAAACCAGCCAGACTTTCACTCCAGCATTTCAGCTTTCCTGCAGATTGTTTTTCCAGGGGCACCCTCTGGCTTATCCGCAAGACTGTGGGAATGCTGTCAAGACAGGAGACATTTTCCTGTGTGTAAAAGGCCCCCAGCTCAGGGACTGGGCCAGAAGGTCCTCTGCTGTGGGTATCTCATGCCAGGGAGCCAAGGAGGAGAGCTGAGCTCTAGGGAGTGCTCTGGGGCTGACTGGAACAGCCTTGCTGTTCTCTGTGCAACTGAGACTTGTTTGTGGTGTCAGGGATGTGTAGTTCCACAGCCAGTGGATAATGGGGTGAAAGGACACTCAGGGAGTCTCCAGAGCCAGCTGGAGCCAGTGAAGTCCAGTTGGTCTGGCCACCATCCAGTCAGCTTTTGTGTGTCTTCAAGGACAGGGATTGTTCTGCCTCTCTGGGTTGCTGTCCTGGATAATTGGGTTTTCCTGAGTACAGTGCTCAGTACTGAGTGTGAAATCTTTTCCAAAATCTTGGCCCTTTTCTATGCTAGCAGAGGTTCTGCTTTCAAAGCAGGTTTATCAGTGACTTAACATCCACCAGGCTTCCCCTGTGCTCCTAGAGCTCCTCCACCCTCTTTATGGACTTTTCCAAGTGCAGAATGGACAATGCCAGCTCCCATCCAGTGTGTATCCAGCGTGGTTTAGAAAGGCACTTTATAACTTGGAACATCACAGTAAATAAATGTGCAGCATCTCGGATGTTTTGCTGAGGAGATGAAGTGTTGCAGGCTTTTGAAGGGATTCCAGCTAATTCCACACACAAATCTGGCTCCAAGACCTTTCCTTCCCTGCAGGCCAGAG